TGTAAAAGGTCAAGAAGTGCATTCTCCAATATGGATTGTAGCTCAACATCAAGAAGACAAAGATTCTCACCACTGGGCCAGTTGGCAGCACCGGGATAGAAGGAGAAGAGATTGAGGTTGTTAACAATTTTAGCTTGTTTGGCTCCATGATTATAACTGTTAGCCCCAGCAGTCAGGCAATCAAAAGACAAGTTACATTGGGACAATCTGCTGTTAGGGACCTCTCGAGAGTGCTTATGAGCAGCAGTGTCATTCTGGAGTCTTACATGCACCTGATCCAGGCCATGGTCTTCTCAGTTACTTGCTATGTATATGAGAGCTGGACAGTGACTAAGGACGACAGAAGAATCAATGCCTTTGAGCTGCAGTGCTGGAGAAGAGTTGAATATAACATGGTCTGCCAAGGGAACAAACAGATTTATTCTGGAGAGGGTGAAACCAGGTTTGCCCCTTGGAGGCAAGGATTTTGAAGCTCTGTCTCACATACTTTGGGCATGTTGTTAGGAGGGACCAGTCCTTAGAGAGGGACATCATGCTTGGAAGGATGAAAGGTCAGCTCAGGAGAAGACAACCCCGGATGAGATGGATTGACATCGTGACTGTGGGAATGGGATTAGGTGTATTGGAGTCAGTGAGACTGGCTCAGGACTCAAAGCTGTTGATCATAGGATCACCGTGAGGAGTAGTAGTCAACTACATGGCACATAACAACAAACTTTAGGTACAGATGCCCACTGTGGTGGGGAGAAGAGTACAATTTGCCAAATAATTTGATTCCTTTTTCATCTTTTTTGGCCTTGTAACTGCAGGTAACTAATTAGACTTACCCTTTGTGAATCTCAGTTGCTCACTTGTAGTAAGGAGATAGTACTACTTAGGAAAGCTTTTATGAGCTGCAAAGCAGTTAAATTGGGAGCTCTTAACATAACTCCGTTTCAGAATTATACAGATCATACTAGTTGCTGTCAAGCTATGTTTGGCTTTTTATATTTTACAAAACCCCAGGTAATAGGAGATCCCAAGTAATAGTTTCAGAAATTCGTTAGGCTGTGAGAACATTAGAGTAATTAGTATGTAGAATAAATTCAAGCCACGGGTTTCAATGATTAAGGATACTACGGGTAGAATATTGAATGATTCAGGAAGCATTAAAAGAAGGTGGAAGGAGTAGACAATCATTGTACCAAAAAGAATTGGATGACATGGAAGAATATCAAGAAACAACATATGAGCAAGAGGCAGTGGTGATGAAGGAGGAAGTTCAGGCTGCTCTGAAGGACTTGGCAAAAAATAAAGCCCAGGAATTGATGGAATACCAATTGACATATTTCAGCAAACAGATTCTGCATGTGCTCACCAAGTTGTGCCAAGAAATCAGGAGGACAACTACTTGGCCAACTGACTGGAAGAGATCCATATTTATTCCCATTCCACAAAAAAGTGACCCGACAGAGTGTGGAAATTATCGAACATTATCACTAATATCACACACTAGCAAGGTCCTGATGAAGATTATCCAGGAAAGACTTGAACAGTGCATTGACAGAGAACTACCAGAAATACAAGCTGGGGTTAGAAGAGGTCTTGATACTAGGGATATTGCCAATGTCAGATGGATTTTGGCAGAAAGCAGAGAGTACCAGAAGAAGGTCTTATCTTTGTTTCCTTGACTATGCAAAGGCTTTTGACTGTGTGGATCACAACAAATTGTGGCTAACCTTGAGGAAAATGGGAATCTCAGAACACTTGATCGTGCTTATATGAAACCTATACTTGGACCAGAACAGAGCAAGGAAACACTGCGTGGTTCAGAATCAAAAAAGGAGTGTGTCAGGGATGCAGCCTGTCTTTGTCCCTTTTCAATCTGTATGCAGAACAGATCGTTCAGGAAGCACGGCTTTATGAGGAGGAGTGTGGCATCAAGATTGGAGGAAGACTCATTAACAACCTATGATATGCAGATGGCACAACCTTGCTTGCTAAAACTGAAGAAGACCTGAAGCACTTGCTGCAGTAGGTCAAAAACTGTAGTCTTCAATATGGATTGAAGCTCACCGTCAAGAAGACAAAGATTCTCACCACTGGGCCAATTGGCAGCACCATGATATAGATAGAGAAGAGATTGAGATTGTTAGCAGTTACAGCTTGCTTAACTCCACAATCAACATTCTTAAGACCTGCAATCAGGAAATCAAAAGACAAGTTACATTGGGAAAATCTGCTGTCATGGACCTCTCCAGAGTGCTGAAGAGCAACGATGTCAGTCTAGATACAAAGGTGCGCCTAGTCCAGGCCATGGTCTTCTCACTTACTTGTTATGCTTCAGAGATCTGGACAGTGACTAAGGATGACAGAAGAAGAATAAATGCTTTTGAGTTGTGGTGCTGGAAAAGAGTCTTAAACATAACATGGACTGCCAAGAAAACAAATAGTCTGTCTTGAAGAGGGTTAAAGCAAGTCTCTCCTTGGAGGCTAGGATTTTGAAACTCCATCTCACTTATTTTGGGTACATGGCCAGGAGAGATCAGTCCTTGGAGAAGGACATCATGCTTGGAAGGGTGGACGGACAGTGCAGGAGAGGAAGACGCAGTGACTGGGGTGTTGGGGGTTGGTGTGTCAGAATTAGTGAGACTGGCTCAGGACAGGGAAGGGTTCAGAGCTTCTGTACATAGGGTCACTATACAGCACAGTCGATTCAACATCACATAGCAACAATAACATACTATAAATGGTTGTTTTAATTTAAGCCTCTTGTTTAGAGTCAACAAGACCCTGGGGAGGACCTTTGTATTTAAAGTCGGTTGTTATATTTTGGAGGAACATTCTTAGTGGTACAGCACTCTTCTGTCAGTATGCTGTACTGAGGTAATCTGGGTTTGCTGTGATGCTGAACCTTGTGCCATTGGAGTGTCAAATACCATAACGGTTATCCATGGTGGATAGTATTTGGTGGAACTCCCAGTTTTAAGACAGGTTTGGAAGCAGTAGTGGCATCCACTTCCTAAACAACATACCTCCAGAAACTCTATGAATTTTTATAAATGTTGATAGTCAGTGATGGACCCCAAATGATTAAGTTGATCTCCCATCTGGAGGTTCGAATTTGTGTCTCCTCTCTCCTCCTTGGTTTCTCGTTTGTAATTCCCTTAGGCCAAGGATCTGGCTTCACATCTGTGTGTTCACAGAACTGTGACGTGTTTCTGCATTGTATAAATATTTGGTAATTGTGTAAGCATCATCTGCGGTGAAAGAAGTTTTAGCTGGTTTTTCATCAGTGTAGACACTGCTCACCTTGACATAAATATACCATGAGCTGCAAAAGGAACAAGGCTGTCCTAGAAGAGGGGCTCCTGAGGAATGTGAGATTTTTGTTTCACATACATGATATCTAGAGGGGCAAGTCCCTGGAAAAAGGCATGGTGCTTAAAAGAGGATCAGAAAAAAGACAGCGAGGTGGATTGACACAAGTTGGAACCCACCCCTAGCTGACCCTGCAGCAGGTTTGCAAGGCTGTCACGTGCATTAGAGGAAATGGTCCATCTTTCTCTTATGAAGTCACTGGTGGATTTGAACTGCCAGCGAGATGTGTCCTTAGAGTTAACAGCACAACTCCCTTCGGACAGACAGCTGTCCCCTGATATATACGATGACTAAAAAGCGTAAAGAATGATGGGGATAGCTTGGAATAAACCGAGTGTCCGAGTGATGTCACCAAAGAACTTAAAATCTGAGGAGGGAAAAAAGTGTATTATAAAGTGATTTGGTGGGAGGGAGAGTAGGGCAGAAAATAAGTATCAGTGAATGAATCAAAATTCAACCTTTCTGTAAACTTCCACTAAGATCACAATAAAAAGATTTTTTAAAAAGATTTGTCAAAGTTACACATAATCTGTGAAGAGTTCGGATGGCAAAGTAGTTAAGCGCTTGGCTGCCGAAAGGTTGGTGGTTCAAATCTACCAGTGGCTTTGCAGGAGAAAAGACCTGGCTGTCAGCTCCTGTCATGACTGGTTACAGCCTAGGAAATTCTCAGGGATAGCTCTGCTCTGTTCTGGAGGATTCCTGTGCACCACAATCAGCTGGACAGCGTGCAGCAGAAGCACACGTAATCCCTCGAATAAATAGTTTTTAGCAAAGTAATCAAAATTTACCTGTGTACACCTATTGTCTTTGTGTTTTTTTGACTCACAGTGACCCTGAAGCACAGGCAGAGCTACTTCATGGGGTTTCCCAGGTGAAATCTTAACTGCAAGCATCTTTTTCTCCTGCAGAGTAATTGGTTGGCTTGAACCATCAGCGTTTTGGTTACCAGTCAGGTGTTTTAATCACTGTCCTACCAGGACTCCCGAGGGACCACATGCTAGATGCTAAAGGAGCATTTTAATTTCTTTCAAATGTTCTCTGGGGTATTTCTAGGAGCCTTGATGGTACAGTGGATTAAGCTGTAGTCTGCTAACCAAAAGATCAGTGGTTTGAATTCTGTGGCAGGAAGATGTGACTGTGTACTACCATAGAGATTTACAGCCTTGGGAACCTGAAGGAGCCGTTTTCCTCCATCCTGCATAGGATTGCTGTGAGTTAGAGTACCCACTGCCATTGATTCATAGCCGCCCTTCCACGGAGTCCAGGGCTGTAAATCTTAACGGGAGGAGTTGCTGATCTTTCTCCTGGGGAGCAGCTAGCTAGGGGATTCTTAGCAGCCTGACACCTTGTTGGCATAATGTGATGAGTTGCCTCTCATAAAGTTGGCAGCTGCAATCCATCAGCCACCTTCCAGGAAAAAGATAGGCAGTTCCCTCCACTCTGGAGGGGCACAGAGGGCTGAACTTGACTCTGTGAAGGGCGGTAGGTCTGTGTTAAAGTGCATTTGGCAGCAGTGCATTTGGGTTTGGAGTCTTTTAATGAATGTCTCCGAATAGGTGGTAGTTTTTGCAGGATATTTCTTACCTACCATGTAAATGCTCAGAGTACTTACCAGAATCTCTTTTCTGTCTGTTTTTCAGGATTGGGACGGCTGCATTGGCAGTTCAGGTCGTGGGTAGTAATTGGCCCAAGCCCCACTATACTTTGCTGATCACCGGCCTGTGCCGTTTCCAGATCGTACAGGTCTTGAAAGAGAAGCCATATCCTGTTGCTGAAGTGGAGCAGTTGGACCGACTGGAGGACTTCCCCAGCGCCTCAAAAACGAAGGAGGAACTCGGGGAGCTCTCAGAGCAGTTTTACAAATACGCTGTCCAAGTGAGTTGCTTTTCTTATTCTATCTTAAACCCTTTTTAACTTAGTTCCTGTGCTTCCCTCAGAAATGGTGAATCTGTTGGGTGGTGTTTTAGGATAGCATAAGTTTAAATGATAAAGTCTCATAATAATACATTTTACTCTGCTTTTGTCAGGGATTGTACCAAAATAATATTAGTGAAACCATTCTAAAAAAGTTCCACTTTTTCTACCTAGAGCTTTTCTTTACAACTTTCTATGTGTCTATACAGTTATTAAACATAAATATTTATAATGTTAAAAAAGTAAAGCTCTACAGAGATGCTGTTTGGCCCATGCATGGTGATTACCTTGGAAGAGTCCTAAGCATCTAGTAGATTGACTTCAAAAATAGTTAAAACCCCCTTTGACTACTATAATAGTTAAGTTTCAAGATCAGTGAAAACACCCATTAGCTACTGTAAAACTGGAAAGCACATATTGGGCATGCATTAAGTATTTGACTCCTTAATTTGGTGGATTTTTTTTTACTCATTTTCTTGAGGAGAAAGCTCCTCTTTTACCTACCTACCTACCTCATTGTGTTTCTGACCTTATTGAAATATGTTGTAAAATGTAGTCTTGGCTGCTTTTCTGTTGTTATAATGTAGTAAATACAGCTGGCTGTATGACAAACATATAATGTCTTGATTATGAAATCAATATTTTCTAAAAAGCACAGCCTATTTGTGCAATGTGTCATTTGAAGTGACACTTCTAGTGTAGTGACCAACTGTAGAAAAGTAGCACATTTAGAGCTTCAGGGTCACTTGGAGAATTAGAATAATTGTATATACTATTTAGGAATGAAGGAAATAGGGGTGGGGAATAGAATTTCTTTTCCTTTTCGGGAGTAATGCTCCCTGGGTGTCTATGACTAACTTTATAGCTTATTTCATGTTTCTGTTTCTTTTTTTATAGAAATTTCTTGGACATAAAAATTTTATAATGACTGCATTTATATTTAGAGAAAAGCAAACCATCATAAATCTTAAAATAATACACCTAATTTTTCACTGGTTTTTGGTCCTGGTCTGTATTCTTTTTTTTTTTTTTTAATATCCCCAGGTAATTCTCATATTTACCATTTTTAATTAAGTACTTTTATTAAGTTGGGGTATCATCATAATAACATGTATCATTCCCCTCCCCTTTTTTTTTACTGTCCGCTTGATGTTTCTCTGCTGTTTTCTTACCGTCTCTCACTGACTTCAATAACCTCCTTTACTGATTGTCTATTTTCTTCTATCTCTAAGTAAGCCATTCTATTTACTGAGCCTTTAAAAAATGTTTTTGGGCATACCTCTTCCCAGGTGAACACCTGCAGTGGATACCAAGTCACTGCCATCAAGTCAGTTCCTGTTCATGGCAACCCGCTATTGGGTTCCTGAAGCTGTAAATCTTTGTTGGAGATGGCCCACCTGTCTCCTGCGAAGCACCTGGTGGATTTGAACCATCAGCCTTTCAGCTAGCAGCCCAACACATAACACTTTACACCACCAGGGCTCCTTACCAGATATAAAATCCATATTTCTTAGTCAAACACTAAGACCCTTCACAGCTGGATCTAGGTCTGTGGATTTTGCCTCAGTTTTAGTTACTCCTCCATGTGCTCCTGGTTTAACCACATTGCTCTTGCATGTCTTGGTGAATTTGCCTTCTGTTCTCTATAAGAAATGCTCCTCCTTCTCTGAATTTTCATGTTCTATTACATGCTTTTCCAACTTGTTTGGACTATTAATGCTGCTTTCTCTATGCCTCCGCAGTTCTTTATGTATATCTTCTAAAATTCAGGTTTCTTAGTTTTACATTAAGGCCTTTCATTGCTAGACCTTTTTCTTTTCAGTGTTGTCTGATACTCATAAACCTCTTTCCAAATTGAGTTTATCCTCACTTTAGCTGTTCTGTACTGAGCAGCATGTGGTGTCTGGCAGATAGAGTGCAGGGAGGGAGTGTTGCCTGTTTAACCTGCAGGCAGGCCCGGGGGCGATGACCTTGCGCCTCAGGAGGCGGCCTCCTGCTTGCCCTTTAATTTCATGTACATTTGCCCTTGCTCAGAAATGATGGACCCAATGCCTACTCAACTGCAAATTCCTCTTCTCAGTCACCTTCATTCAGTTCCTGCATATACAGCTTCAAAATAATTTTAAAAGGTTTGAGCTTCTCCTTGGCTTAAAGTAAGGATAAGTAAGAATTGTATCACCTGTTTTGACTTACATACGAATTCCCCTTACAGACTTCAAACCAGTTTAGGTGCACATTTAGTTCATAAACTACTGTTTGTGTTTTCTTAGCATGATTTGCTGGAGGCAACAGGCTGTAGATTTTATTAATTTTATTATTACTATTAGCATTATTATTATTATAAAGATCTCGTGGCCATTTAAAAAAAAAAGGCTGTTGAAGCAGGAACAGATGCTTTTGAAGCAATTTAAAATTCCCCTGCTGTCCAAGAATGTGATTCTGATTTTATAGGACTATAGCTCTGTGGTTGAAGGAAAAAGCTGGTTCTTAACCAGTTTGATATCCACTGCTGTACAGGATGGCTGTCTTCTTTGATGTGGTTCTCAGAGCCCATCGTAATGATTTTTGCATAAACTGTGGGTTGTATTTAAGATACACCATCCCAGGCATACCTACGAAACTTTGTGATAGTCTGTTTTACAGGGTTTTTTTAGGATTACAGTAATAGGAGTTTTTTTCTCTTTCTAGAGATGATTTTTGCTCAGTAAGTCAGTGTCCATTGTTTATGTGAACCTTAAGTGTGGCTCTAATACACTAGACATTAAAGCTCTGGCAGGGTCGAGTAGTATATATAATGCCTTTTTGCAAAAAGAACCCTACTTAGTAGAGAACTTGGCTTTGACTTCTTGTCTACAGTTCTTTAGACAAAACAAAGCTGCTTTGAACTTCCTTTTCTTTCTCTGCAAAGTAGAAGAGATAATGCCAACCATATTACAGATTTCTGCAGGAAAATAGGGGTTTCTTTTTATGAGTTTGAAATTCATTCCTTTGTAACCATACCACATTTGTTGGGTTTTGGGGGGTGGGTTTTTGGTTCTTGTTATGTGCAGTCCAACTGAAATCATTCATAGCTGACCCTCCATAAGGTTTTTCAGAGGCTACCAATCAATCACACAGGAGAAGATTGCCCGTCTTTACCTGTAGAGCTCGCTGTAGAGGTGGATGATAACTCCTTGCCTTTGGGTTGACGGTGAAACTCCTCACCCTTTAGGCCGTCAGACCTCCCTCTGTTGTTACTAGATTAACCTTATTTTTTTTTGTCCTTAAGACTTCTTTGCTTAGTCATTGGTTCTTGTGATTCACAAATCTGAGTCAGAGAGATAGATATTTATTATATACCATATGGTATTCAGTAGTAGTTCATTGTATTATTCTGATAAATTTTGAACTTTTTTTTTCAAAATTTTAAAGATAAAGCATAGATTTACAAAAGCTTGTAAATATTCAGCTGTGAGCCAGTTTTTAGTGTGAAACTTTTGAGACTTTTTTTCCTTTTTGTTCTGATTGACGTTTTGAATGAATGTCACTTTTCTCTTTGAGGCCTACATGCACAGTAATAAATATTCACAATGATCTTTTATTTCAGAAGAAGACTGATTCTCAAACACTTAACCTTTCTGTGAATCTGAAATTTGTGAAAATTCACAAATAATTTGCATATTTCAATAAAAGACTGTTTTTCCCTTCTAGTTGGTTGAAATGTTGGACATGTCTGTCCCTGCTGTTGCTAAATTGAGAAGTCTTTTAGATAGCCTTCCAAGGGAAGCGTTACCAGATATTCTGACATCAATTATCCGAACAAGCAACAAGGAGAAGCTCCAGGTACAGTGTTCCCTTCTTGAATGCCAAATCACTTTGTCACTTTTTTAAATTGGAGCGGGATAGCTCTGTTTATATTTTCATTCTCATGGACTTCTTTTCATTTTCTTCAGTTTCAATTTGAACTTGAATATGAGCAGTTAATAGCCTGTTCCACAGTCAATGCCGGCCTTGTTTTGACTGCCAGTATTGAACTTCCTAGTCGTCTTTTTTCATATATTATTATGCTAATCCCTGTGCAGTTCATCAAGTGAGGTCCATGTGTGAAGTCGCCACTTATGGTTTTTTTAAAAGGTTTTTGCAATGAATGAACCACTGATTGTACAAAATTCTTTTGTTCCCTCTCCAGCCCCATTTTTGTACCAATGTCATATTTCCTAACTACCATTCTTTCCTCTTTGTTTCTAAGTTTTGCATTTCAGTCACTAATTATGTGTAATGTATCTTGATTGTATGTTTAGTCCATTTCAGAGTGTACAAGTTGGTAGAAGTCCTCATTTACTTTGTCTTTGGCTTTAATAGTTGGTGCATATATTGGAATAATAGTTGTAGTAACAAATCTTCCTTATTGATGGTATCCTGTCACTTGCCGCACTGTACTTAGGGATAGATTTTTTTTTTTTAATTTTTTTTTTTCATATTGATTGTATCGTATCACTCATTGCATTGTACTTCAGGATGGATTTTCGTGTGTGTGCCAATTTTAATTACATCTTTATTTGAGACATTGCCTTTTCTATTTATAATAGAAAATAATAAAGTGCAATGTTACTGCCTTTCCCTATGCACATTCCATATTCAAGTATTGAGAATGCCCAGAAATTTAGTCTAGGAGTTTGAACATCAAAATTGCAGTGCGCTAAAAATTTGGGTCCTTCAAAAAAAATTTTTTTAAGTATTAAGATTGGCTTAGTCAACCTCTTCAGTGGTGGGTCCAGAAGAGGCACCACCAGATAGGGGAGCTCTATCCCCAGCGAAGCTGCTGGACATGCCTCCAGCACTCTGATACAGCCTGGTGGTGATGGGGTTACAGACCTTCTCCAGCTCCTTCTGCTGATGCTCAGATTCCTCCTTTTCTTCAGCCTGATTCTCATCGAGCCAGTTGGTCATTGGTCAAGGCTCTTCTGCTTGTCCTCATCATTGATCTTGCTTGAAGCTTTTCATCTTCAACTGTTGTTTTCTTATTAAATGCGTAAGACTCAAGGGAATTCTTAGAAGACACCTTATCTCTCTGCTTCTCATCTTCAATTTTGTATTCCTCAGCCTCCTGGACCATTCATTCCATGTCTTATTTACTCAAGCGGCCCTTGTCATTAGTGATACTAATCTCGTTTTCTTGCCCAGTATTTTTGTCTCTAACAGAAACATTTAGAATACCATTGGCATCAACATCAAAGGTGACTTCAATCTGAGGAACACCACAAGGTGCAGGTGGTATGCCAGTGAGTTCAGACTTGCCAAGTAGGTTGTTATCTTTAGTCATTTCATGCTCGCCCTCCTAGACCTGAATGAGTACACCAGGCTGGTTGTGTGAGTAGGTTGGACGGACTGCGTCCGCTTGGTAGAATGGTAGTAGTTTGCTTGATGAGGACAGTCATGACTCCAGTAGCAGTTTCAGTACCAAGGGAAAGTGGAGTGACATCCAGGAGTGGAAAAGCTTGAATATTTTCAAATTTGTCTCCAGAGGGAATGGCCACCTGGATAGCTGCACCATTGGCAACAGCTCTTGATGCTCTTGTTCAGTTCCTTTCCATTGAAGAAATCCTGAAGAAATTTCTGGATCTTAGGAATTCTGGTAGAACCACCCACCAAGGACTCTGTCATGGATCTGTGACTTGTCTACTCTGGCATCCCTCAGGGCTTTCCGTACAGAATCCAGAGTACCATGGAAGAGATCAGCATTCAGATCTTCAAAGTGGGCTCGGGTAATGGAAGGATTGAAGTTAATTCCCTCATATGGAGAATTAATCTCAGTACTAGCCTGGGTGCTGGAAGAAAGTGTGCTCTTTGCACACATACAGGCACTGACAGGCCTCTTATTTTCACTGATGTCTTTCTTATGATTGCACTTGAACTCTGTAGTGAAATAGTTGACTCTTCTGTTGTCAAAGTCTTCTCCACTTAAGTGGGTATCTCCAGCTGTAGATTTGACCTCAAATATTCCATCCTCAGCAGTGAGCATTGACACTTTAAAGTGTGCAAAGTCAAAGATCAGCCCGTTCCTTTCAGTGCCCACTTTTGTCAAAACCGTGAGCAGTAGCAGCAGCCATTTGCTCATTGACGATTTGGAGGGCATTGAGACCCGCAGTGGTTCCAGCATCTTTCGTAGCCTGGGCCTGAGAGCCATTGAAGTAGGCTGGTAGAGTGACAGCAGCATTGATAACAGTCTTCCCAAGGTAGGCTGTAATTTCCTTCATCTTTGTCAGATCGTAGATGACCCCTCCTCTGGATGAACACTTTTGGCCTCTCCTTTATATTCTACTTCGACCTGGGGCCTTCCTGCATTGTTCTCCACCTTGGAGAGTCATATCAGACTCCCCCAGAAGCATCGTCAAATCTTTGTCCAGTGAGACATTTGTCATTGAATACTGTGTTAGTGGGATGCATTGCAACTTGATGCTTTGCCACATTGCCAGTCAGTTGTTCGGTATCAGTAACTGAAACATATCTTGGTCCAGTTGCCTTGGTCATTTGCAGTGATCTCTACATTCCCATGCTGGAAGACCCACACACACAATGCCATCACAAACCCTTCGACATGGTTTCTAGAAAATAAAATCTGTGGTTTTAAAACAAAACTCATGCCTAGTTTGCCAATCATATTTGATTTCCATATAGTCTTACACCAGCCCTCCCACCATACCCTTGTCTGGAGAGCCAGGTTGGCAGCTCCAACCAGCCCTGCTGCAGTTCGAGTTACCATGCCAACGGCAGCTGAGTAAGCCAGGAGCATAATATAGGAGCAGAATATAGCAGGAGTGACCATCTGAGGCCCACAGCATCACTGAGCATGTGGCTTGGGTGCTGGCTCCTCCCGCCAGGATCTTTTTGATGATGAATGTGACACATGACACAATGGATGACAGAAGAGACTCTGAATATCGCACTAGAACCCTGAGATGCAAAAGTAATAAATCAGGAAGTTAAGGAACTTAAGAAGATTTCAAAAGGCAGTTCAGAAAAACAAAGCAAAATATTATCATAAAATAAATGTTCAAAGAGCTAGAGTTACAAAATCAAAAGGGATGAGCTCACTTGGCACTTCTGAAGCTGAAAACCAAATTCAAATCTCATGTTGCAACACTTAAAGTTACTATGGGCAGAATATTGAATGATCTAAGAAGCGTCAAAAGAAGATGGAAGAAGTATACAGTCACTGTATCAAAAAGAATTGGCTGACAGAACAATCTCAGAAAATAGTGTATGATCAAGAAGCAGTAGTGATAGAAGAGGAAAGTCAAGCTGCTCTGAAGAAATTGACGAAATAAAAGGCCGTAGGAATTGTGGAATACAGATTGATATAGTTTAACAAACAGTTGCTGCAATGGACATGCTCACCAGACTGTGCCAAGAAGTCTGGAGGACAGCTTTGTTTCCAGCTGACTGGAGGAGATGCATAATATTTATTCCTATTCCTGAAAGAGATGATACAACAAAATATGGAAATTATTGAAATATAGCACATGGAAGCAAACACTTGCTGAAGATTACCCAAAAACAACTGGAACAGGACATCAGCAGAGAACTACCAGAAATACAAGCTGGGTTTAGAAGAGGCCATAGTAATAGGGATATATCCTTGGCCAATGTCAGATGGATTTTGGCTGAAAGCAGAGAGTACCAAAAGAATGTCTATTTATGTTTCATTGACAATACTAAAGCATTTGACTACGTGACTAATATCTAGAGGAATGGGAATCCCAGAACATCTGATGGTGCTCATGCGAAACCACCCTATATTTAGGAGTATAAGTTTCACATAAGAAGCAGTCATCCACATGGTTCAAAATCAAGAAAGGAATGCATCAGAGAGGAGTTCTTTCTTCCCACCTTTTCAACCTATCTATAGAACAGATCCTTTGAGAGGCTAGATCCTATGAAGAAGAATGCAGCATTAGGACTGGAGGAGGACTCAACAACCTGAGTTATACAGATGACACAACTTTGCTTGTCAAAACTGAGGAGGACTTGAAAGATTTGCTGCACAAGGTCAAGGAGTATAGTGTTCAATATGGATTACATCTCAATATCAAGAAAACAAAGATTCTCACCACTGGGCCATTTGGCAGCATCATGATATAGATGGAGAAGAAATTGACATTGTTAACTGTTTTATCTTGGCTTGGGTCCACAGCACACTTGACACCAGCAGTCAGGAAATCTAAAGACAAATTGCTTTGGAAAAATCTGCTGTTAAGGACCTCTCCAGAGTGCTGAAGAGCAGCAGTGTCGGTCTAGAGACTAAGTTGTGCCTGATCCAAGCCATGGTCTTTTCATTTATTTGCTGTGCATCACAGAACTGGACAGTGATTAAGAATGACAGAAGAATCGATGCCTTTGAGTTGTGCTGGGGAAGAGGATTGAACTGCCAAGAGAACAGGTCTGTCCTGGAGTGGGTGACACCAACTTTCTTCTTGGAGGCAAGGATTGGAGAGCTGTCTCACCTACTTTGGGCATGTTGCCAGAAGGGACCAGTACTTGGAGAAGGATATCATACTTGAAAGGGTGGAGGGACAGGCAGGAGATGAAGACCGTGGAGGAAATGGATTGATACAGTGACTGTGGCAGGTGTGTCAGAGTTAGTAAGATTGCCTTAAGATGGGACAGGATTCAGAGCTATTGTTTGTAGTCATCTTGATGGTACATAACAAAAATGTAGATCACGATTGTCTGATTCAAAAGGACCAATACCAGCTCACTTATGCCTCAGATATTGGTCTGTATGTGTTTTTCATTTCATTTTTTACAGGCTCACTATTGATCTGTATGTGTTTCATTTCATTTTTTACAAGCTCACCTTATACCTAGGATATTGATCTGTATGTGTTTCATTTTGACAACTTTCAATTTTACTAAATTCATACTTTGTGAATTGTTAATGTTCCAGTTATTAATGGATGTTTGCATCCAACTCTTCTCATTTTGAGTCTTGCCATATCAGCAAATATTGATCCTTCTTCGGGTGAAAGCGTTACTACTTCCCTGTCCTGAGAATCTAATTTGAGGAGACTGCTCTTTCCCTGTTGCTTTTTTTTTTTCTTAGTGCCTCCCAAACTGAGGGGCTCATCTTCTGGTTCTGGAGCCAGCAGTGCTCTTCCACTTCATAGGGTTTTCAAAGGTCTGTTATTTCAGAAGTGGATGAAACAACTTGTTTTAAAACAAATCCACAAAAAGCAAAGTACATGCAGCCTTGAGTCTATCCCAGTGAAATTTAAAAACCACATTAATGATAGATTTGATGTTTTGAACACTATAATGACTGAAGACCAGATGAATTTTGAAAAGACATTAAGCAAATCATCCATGAAGAAAGAAAAAGGTCACTGCAAAGAAAAGGAAGAAAGGACGAACCAAAATAGATGTCAGAAGTGACTCTGAAACTAGCACTGGACGAAAAGAAGCTCAAACAAGAGGAAGGAGTACTAAGTAAGAGCTGACAGAAGATTTCAAAGGGCAACTTGAGAAGATAAAGCAAAGATATTACAATGAAATGTGCAAGTTGATAAGCAAAGAGGGATGAATATACTCAGCAGTTCTTAAGCTGAAAGAACTAATTCAAGCCTTGAGTGGCAACACTGAAGGACTCTGTGGACAAAATCTTGTGAATGATACAAGAAGGATCAAAAGAAGATGGAAAGAGTACACAGAGTCACTGTATCGAAAATAACTTGTGGACACTGAACTGTTCCAGAAAGTAGCATCATATCAGGAATCAATAGTACTGAAGAGGGAAGTCCAAGCTGCACTGAAGGCATTGGCAAAAAAATAACACAGGAGATAGTAAGGGATCGAATTCTAATTGAGGTATTTCGACAAACATATAGTTAGGGAACATACTTGCTAGTTCTGGACATGTTTGGTTGGTTGTTCCAAGAAATTACGAAGACAGCTCCCTGACCAACTGACTGGAAGAGATCTGTATTTTTCCCCATTTCAAAAAAAGATAATCCAACAGAGTGTGGAACTTGTCAAACAGTAACATTAATATCATGTGCAAGTAAAATCTTGTTGAAAATTACTAAGCAGCAGCTAAAGCAGTATATTGACAGGGAACTGTCGGAAATTCAAGCTAGATTCACAAAAGGCCATGCATGGCATTAGAGATAGCATTGCTGGTGTTAGATGGATCCTGGCTAAAAGCAAGAGGGTACCAGAAAGATATTTACCTCTCTTTTATTGATTATGCAAAGGCATTTGACTGTGTGGATCATAACAAATAATGGCAAACAATAAAATAATGGGGATCACAGAACACTTAATGGTGCCCATGTGGAACCTATACGTAGATCAGGAAGCTCCTGCCTGACCAGAACAAGGAGACATTGCATGATTTAAAATTGACAAAGGTGTCGGTCAGGATTATATCCTTTCTCCATATCTATTCAGTCTGTATCCTGAGCAAATTATTAAATAAGCTGGACTGTAGAAAAAATGTGGCATCAAGATTGGAGAAAGACCCATCTATAACCTGTGTTACACAGATGAGACAAGCTTGACTGGACAAAGTGAAGACGATTCATTGCAGAAGAGCAGAGGGTGCAACCTTCTAAATGGGTGTGATATCTCAACATCAAGAAATCAGTTCCTGGGGCCTTCTTTTTGCCAGTGTCTTCAATGCAGCTTGAGTTTCTTTCATCATTACCATTGATTATTCAGGATTTTATCCATAGAATCCTTCTGTATTGCAACCCTAGGCTTGAATTTGTTCTACAAGCGTATTCTTCCTTTTTTGTATTCTAACGCCAGCTCTTTGCACATTTTACTATATTACTTTGCTTTGCCTTTGCAAGCTGCCCTTTGAAGTCTTCTGTTCAGCTCTCTTCCCCTTGTTTTGGTTCCAGTGCAAGTTTCAGATGTGGTCTTTTCTTTCTTCCCTGTTTTTGGAATGATCTTTTTCTTTCTTCATGGATGGTAGCCTTGATGTCATCCCACAAGTCCTCCGGTCTTAGTGAACAGTTTAATTTGATCTTCTGGAAAAAAATACTAGAAACCCTTAAAATGAATTAAAATTATTTTACCGTTAAATTGCTTTTCAAACACATCACTTTACATTTTCATACATAACAAGAAACTTGTTTATCCATCAGTCGATCAATTTTTGGAAAAAATAAAATGGAATTATGATAATGTAAGTATTTAGTTCAACTTTAAATCATCAGCACAGCCTTTCTCTTGTATGTGACACTGTTTTGTAAGAGTTCTTCATCTTGTGAGTCACGCTGTTTGTGATTTTTACTTTATTTCTTTAGCTGAACCTTTGCCTCCTGAGGTAGAGGATCACTGAAATGAAGGAAGAGCCTCAATGAAATGTCTTCACACGGTCACTACAGCAATGGGCTCGAGCACCACGGAAACAGCGTGATTTCAGTCTGTTGTTCACAGGGTTACAGTGAGTCATAGTTGACTCAAAGGCACCCAACAACATTTCTTTAGAGTGAAATGCATTTTAAGGACACTTAAAAATAATGCAAGAATAGGATACTTAAATTATGTTACTTTCCCATAACCGTAAAACTATAGATGTTTTCTTGTGCACTTTTTAAAACACTCTTTAAGCAATCTGCTTTACCCCAACTTTTCTTAACCTGAGGTGGCCTAGTGGCGCTGCCAACCCCAAAGGTCAGTGATTCAGATCCACTAGCTGCTCCAGGGGAGAAAGATGGACAGTCCTCTTCTGTGTGCTTGATAACCTCTGAAAACCACTGGAGGGTCAGCTGTGAGTCCGTTCTGACTCAGTGGCAGAGAACAGCAATTTAAGTTTTTATTTATCAAAGCAAACCTTTATTCTGTCAGCTTATGTAATATTTAAATCAAACAACTATTATAGCAAGCATAACTAATACAAAAAGTTTGGACATAAATGTTAGGATTTCAATTCACTGTTGGGTGCAGATGGATGTAGGAGTCCTGGAGAGTAGCCTGCCTATGGGCCTCCACTGGATGTTCCGCTACGTGAACAAATTATAGTACAGGTTAGTTAAGAGTGTTGTTCTTCAGTGATATGTGTAATCGCTTAGTATTTGCTTTAAATTTTAAGATGTGTTGGATTTATATATTAACTCAGATTACTGTGGTAGAGTGATTCTCCCACCACACTTCATTTATATTCTATGTTGGTTTGCATACAAAACTCATATGTTGTGTATCGTTCATGTACTTTCTATTTCATACATTTCTCCTACATTCACATTATGTTCCAAATGATCACTCATATGCATTGTGTTTTATAAAATTAAGCACCTTGAGCTCTTAGAAAAATTACCAGAAAAGTTTGGCATCAAATGTATTTTGCCCTTCTTGATCTTGGAATAATTCACACAGCTTCATTTTTTTAAATGCAAAATCACTGTGTTTTTCCCTTCTTAAAGATTTTGGGGTCCATCTCAAAGCTTGGTTGTGTTCGCCGTAATGTAACAGTGCATATTGATAGACCTTGCCTTTAGATAATAGTGTGAAGTGGCAGCGTTTGGAGCACACCTGTTTCTTAGAGAGGTTCTGTTAATTCCTTAGATTTTAGACGCTGTGAGCCTAGAGGAGCGCTTCAAGGTGACTATCCCACTACTTGTCAGACAAATCGAAGGTCTGAAATTGCTTCAGAAAACCAGGAAACACAAGCAAGATGATGATAAGCGGGTAAGGATTTCTTTTTATTCATTCCTTCAGGTTGCTGATTATTTTTTAATGGTATGATATATAAGTGTTTTTTGTTTTTTTAAGAGAATCTCATATTTCAGAACCTCTTTTGAGGGGCTATTTTTTTATTCTTTTTTTAATTTATTATTAATTTCAATGAAAATTTACAGAGACTTTGGATTTCCACTCACTCATTATTGCACTTTTCTCCCTTCTTAACCCTCCCTAGTACAGTACCCTCTTGGAAAAGTAAAAGAGAAATTCTTTCATTGTTTTACAATCCCTCCCCCCAAGTTGTTTTTGTTTTAAATAAAAAGTCAGGAGAACAGTGATAAGAAGAAAAATGCTCAGTGCTTCTTACTACCCGGTTACTGTTAAAATTTGGTGTGTTTCCCTTGATCCCTTTTCTTGACACCGCCTCCTCTTCCCCTCCTTTTTTTTCGGTCTCTGTCTTTGTCCAGCAGTGCAGACTCTCAGTGCAGGGTCCATTTACCTAGGCCTTCCCCTCTTTGTATTGTTCCCATTGTGTTTCTTATCTTAAAAAGAACAAGCTGCTTTGAGTTGCTTTTGACTTTGAACATAACATTTTTCTGCAACATGTATTATAAAGACTAGACTACAAAATTGTTTTCCGGTAGGGTTGTATCACTATGGTGTGTCATGATTTGCCTTCCTATTTAGTTTTTAAGTTATAAACGTTTCCGTTTTCATTACGTCATGCTGTTAGTGTCATCTTGTTTTCTGCCCTTTATTCTCTATTGCTTTAAGAATCAAGAAAAAAAAGCAAAATCAACATCTACTTTAGTTGATTTTTTAATTAGTTTTCATATACTAATTCCCTTACATTATGTTTTGTTCATATACACACTGTTTTATACACTATTTAATTTACATTGTATTTTATAAAATCATTCTTGCACATTGTATTTTACATGTTTTTTTTAAAACTGGTTGTTTAGCTCGTTTTTTTAAAAAAAAGCATTTCAATAAATAACTCATAAGTTATTGATTTTGTCTTGTTAATGAGGTGAAAGCAGCAGTTATATTCCAACATCAGTTGTTGTTAGCTGTCATCCGGTGAGCCCTTGGCACAGTGGAATAAAACACTGCCTGGTCCCAGCACCCGCCATGATCACTTGCAAATCAAACTACTGTGATGTGTCAGATTTCCATTGACTGGAAAGCAGGACTCAGAGGCAGGACGCTGACCTTTTCTTCCTACTTCATTTTAACCTGGAAGTGCTGTGGAAAGCTGGTGAGCTTTGTGGCAACACATGAACCTCTACTGGCTGCAGGTGGCCAAACACACATGGTCCCTTTGGCCAAGACTGAACCACCCATGTCTCCACATTCCCAAATAGCTTTCCATTTCACTTAACACTATTTCTTTAAAGATTCTTTCCTTCTCAATTGTTTTGTCATACCTTCTTTATTATATATTTATTTTCTGATGGAGTTCATTTGACTTCTACCTTGAGCTACTGAATCCACTATTTTTATGTTAGAAGAGAGATAAGGAAAATATAACTGAAGTGGACAAGATGTGAAGATGACACTACCATGCAGATTATTTAATATCTCTAAATACCAGCATGCTGGTTAAAACAGACACCAGAAGTCTGAATTCTTTCTGATTTGAGATTCGATAAGTGAGTATTTTTTTGTTTTGTGCCAAAAGGTAAACTAATGTTATGAATTGTTGAATCTAAAGCCAGTCTGTAAACTTTCATTTAGTCAAAATAAAAGCTTTTTAAAAGGAAAAGAAATGAAATAATTTGCTTTCTGTATTGAGAGGAAACTAAAAGTTACTACTAATAAAGAGTTCAGTCATGTAAAAACTAAGCTTTGAAAATTTGCTGTTTCAGCTGCCAAGGAGAAAATTGCATTAAAAAGCACTTTGTTTCAGTAGTATTATGTGCCTTCTTAAAACCTCAGAAATTTATATTCTATTTTTTTTACTTTAAAATATATTATTAACTTAATCTGCTATTAATTTTATAAGAATGAAAAAATACTTATGTTTTTAGAAGTTCGATTTCTATCTACTGTTTCACATTTTATATTTAAATGTATTATGTTTATAGATTGAGTATATTATGATTTTACAGGTAGAAAAAAATAAACTCTGGAGACTTTTAAATTAAATACTGATAAATCTTTTTGTCGCAGTGATGGTGAGAATAATTAATGATATTAATGAGTTGAGAATTTCCAAGATTACATAAGAAAAGTTTTAAAATATGATAGAGATCTTGGACAGTAAACAAAAATAAAGGCCGTATGTTTTGGCCCAGAAGATGGATATTAATTTGAATGAACAATTTCAGTATAATAGCAACAGGAGGCAAAGGTTTACAGAAATATGTGAGAAAGAAGAAGCAGTAGGAATAGGCACATATTGAAAAGTAAAGCATTGCCCAAAGTGAAGTAAATGGTATAGCAGTTAACACAACGGGACCCAGGCAAGAGGAAGTATTGTGAATGGGGGAAACCTTTCCAAGTGTTGCAGGCAGAGAGACTAAGATCAGCGTTGGAAAGGTTGACGCTAGAGAAAAATTTTGTAGTTTAGAAGGAAAATGAACATTCTTAGTTGCCAGGTGGTTAGTCGTAATGTGTCAAGGAAATAGTGGCTTCAGCAGTAGCTGAAAGAATAGACTTCCTTTTCATTAGTTCTGGTGGCCAGTGTCTTGAAAACGTCTAGTTAAAATCCTTTCCTCTCATCCTGGTAAGTGTTTAGCAAAGAACCGTATTTGGTACATGTTTATCTACTTTTTAAATTCTGAGGTGTGTGTGTGTGTGTGTGTGTGTGTGTGCACCTCCTCTTAACTATCCTCCTGAACTTTAGTTTCTGAACGTTAAGACTGTGAGCGTGAAGCTGTTTCTCCATACCAGTCACAAGCTGTTTGGAGCTGGCTATTGCATTTCCAATTTATTTTGGCCCAAAGTTTTACTTTTTTTACATTCCACTTCAGGTCATAGCAATACGGCCCATCAGAAGGATTACACACATGCCAGGCACTCTGGAAGACGAGGATGAAGAAGAAGATAATGATGATATTGTCTTGCTAGAAAAAAAAATACGAACATCGAGTATGCCAGAGCAAGCACATAAAGTCTGCGTCAAAGAGATCAGACGGTAAGTTCTATTCATGAGTGTTTCTTTTTGTTTATTAATGCTAAAGTTACTGTTCATGCTACTGAGGGAGCTCTGGTGGCCTAGTGGGTAAGGAGTTGTGCTGCCAACCCAAAGGTATGGGATTCGAATCCACCAGCTTCTCCAAGGAAGCAAGATGGGCAGTCCACTCCCAGGCAATTTACAGCCTCTGAAAATGCATAGGAACGTCAGCTCTGGGTCGGTTCCAACTCCATAGCACATGGCAACAACTTTGAATGACAAACTAAAAATGCAGGCATGTACTTTATGTTCTCTGATTTTTCTCCTTTTCCTGTGCTTAATAGACTTTAAAGAATTCTTAACTTATAGCTTTGATTTATGAAGTGCTTTCTTCATTCCACAACCAGACTCTAATTCTTTTTTTTTTATTTATTTTATTTTTGTGTGCGTGTACCGTCAAATCAGATCTGACTGGTACAGGAGGAGATTGACCCTCCTTACCCGGCAGAGCATCTGGTGGATTCGAACTGTTCGCCTCTGGGATTGTAGTTGCAGCTCCTTGCCACTAGGCCACCAGAGCTCCCCTCACACTCTAATTCTTAAAACATTCATAGCACTCCTGAATTGAGACTTCAGTCTTTTCCTCAGATATTGAAGACAAATCATTCAGCTCTTTAACTTATTTTGCAGCTGTTATTTTTTTGAATGAACTATACATCTTTGTCTAGACAGTTTGCTCAGTTACTGTGTTCTTCACATACTGCTGGTTCAATTGTGGGGTTGTGGGTCCCCCCCCCCCAAATCCTAGAAGACAGAGACTGTCCATTTCTCTGTACAGAAGGAAGTACAGGGAAACCATCACGATGGAATAGGATGTATGAGGTGATTTTATTTTCTGGATAAATTCAGGATTAAAATGAAAGGCCATTTCTCTCACTTAATATTCTTACAACTTTGCAACCATGCTACATTTTAACAGTGAATTATAATAAATTTAACTGAATGTTTAATAAGAAGATTTGACTTTCTGAGGTTTCCAGTTAAGAACATTAACTGTAAATGTAGTTGAAATGAGTTTTTGTTGACTGTTGTTCTGTTTTCTGGACTGTTGTGTAGAACCTCTGTTATGTGCACTTTGCATGTTACGGAAGTTGCATTTTTTGTTAAATATCTAGTATTTGCTTATGTTTATGAGTTGATGTGATTTGTGGTTCAAAAACCAAAGAATTAATAGTTGTGTTGCACTTCAGTCTTAGGAAAAGAAGTCAGTGGAACATGTGATGTGAGACTCCCTGTGCTCTGAAAAGGCCAGATTATTTGCAGGACTGTGATTTAGTGATACAATAAAATGTTGTCCCCACTTTCCAGATGCCTGGTTTATTTACTGTTTTGTAAATGTGTTTGTGGATATATTACAAAACAGAATTGACTTTTTATTAACTAATGGGTTGGGTTGGGTTTTTCACTTTTTCAAATTTATGCACCCAGATGTACATGATATAGGGTGGTCAAGAAAAGGAGGATATGTTTGATTTTTCTATTACAGATTTCTATCTTTTTAAACATGTTTGCTAAGTTGTTGTTGTTTTTCTCCACAGTCTCAAAAAAATGCCTCAGTCAATGCCAGAATATGCTCTTACAAGGAATTACTTGGAACTTATGGTGGAACTTCCTTGGAACAAAAGTACAACTGGTGAGTCAATATAATCCTTTTTTTTTGCAGTCTGTTGCATGAGAGGTTTTTAGTTTTGAAATTCAATTTATCTTCATTGTCTTTTCTTGCTCATATTTTTGGTATTGTATCAAAAAAATCCATCGTCAAAAGTTAAATCCTTTTAAAAGCTTTTCCCCTATGTTTTTTCCACAAGAATTTAGTTCTTATATTTTGGGTTGTTCCTAAGCTTTTGGTTCTTAGATTTAGACCATTGGTCCATTTTGAGTTAGTTCTCATGTACGGTGGAAAGTACAGATTCCACGTCCCTGTTTTACATTTAGAAATCTATACTTGTCCTAGCACTGTCAATTAAAGAGACTGTTCTTTCTCCATTGAGTGAACTTGGCACCTTTGTTGAAAATCACTTGACCATAGATGTAGAGATTTATTATTGGGCACTAAGCTCTGTTCCCTTGTTTAATCTTTACATAGCACTGTACTGCTTTAGCAGGTTTTCCGGTGGCATAGCCGTAGGAATTGTGCTGTTGACCCAACGTCTATCAGTTTGAATCCACCAGCATCTCTGTGGGAGAGAAATAGGCAAACTGTTCTTATGTGTACAGCCTCAGGGGCCCGATGGAAGGGGGCTGTGAATTAGAACTGACTCGAAGGCAGTGAAGGGTTTTTTTTTTATATTACTTTGATTGTTATACCTTCTTAAAGTACAGTTCTAAATTATGAAATATTGTGCTTTTGTTCTTAAAAAAATTGTCTATTCAGGGATCCTTGAAATTTCATATACATTTGAGGGTTAATTTTTCTATCTGAAAAGAGATTGTTGAAATTTTTATAGAGACTATATTGAATCTGTATATAGCTTTAAGTAGTATTAATAATTGCTATCTTAGCAATTTAAATCTTTCAGTCTATAAACATAGGATGTATTCCCTTTTACTTAAGCCTTTAAATAATTTCAGCATTTTAAGAATAGCTTTCTGTGCTGAGTGAACTAGCTCAGGCTCATAAGGACAAATATTACATAACTGTTATTGAAAAATAATAGATAACTAGTAAAATGTTTATAAATGTCCAAATGGGCAAGAAAAGAAGAGCTGCAGATTGGGGAGGAAATCACAGGATCAGAGTTTGGTGGGTTGGAGGGAGGGGGTGAAAGAATTCAGAAAGACCCGGTGGGGATCTGAAAAGACAGGGTAATAGTGGGCATAGTTCAGTGGTGACTCATTTTATAAGACACAATGTATGGGAATGATCATATGAAACACAATGTGAATGAAAAACAAAACAAAAAACTATTAAAAAAATAACTTTCTGTATCCAAGCCTGGAAGCAGGAGCGGCATCCACTTCCAAAATGGCTTGCCTCTGGAAACTCTGTGTACGAACAGTGCTCAGGCTGTTCGTTCATAGGGTCGCTATGAGTCGTCTGCTACTCGACGGCATTAAACAACAACAACATCCAAGTCTTTCGCCTCCCTAGTTAAATGTACCCTTAACTAGGGGAGCTCTGATGGTGTAGTCTTAAAAAGTTGCATTGAACACCCTAAGACCATACCTTTCTCCTGGTTCAAATCCACCAGGGCCTCCCCAGGAGAAAGACAAGCAATCTCCTCCCATGCTGTTTACAGCCTGTGGAAAGCCACGGGAGGATCAGCTGTGGGTCGGTGCCAGCTGGACGAAGATGACTTGGCATTTTAGACACTATTTTAAATTAGTTATTTTCTTGATTTCATTTTCAAATTGTGTGCATGTTAACAAAACTGATCTTGTACCTGCAGTTTTATGAAATTTATTTATTTGTTAATGATGGTACCTTTTTATGGAGTCCTTGGGTGTCACAGATGGTTAAACACTCAACAGCTGAAAGATTGACACTTTGAACCCACCCAGAGGTACTTTGCTTCTGAAAAAGAAAGCCTGTGAACATCTCAAGTTCCATTGTGGGTGTCTGTAAATCAGAGTCACTTCAACAGCAAACTAGCAGCAGCAAGCTTTCCTGTGGATTCTTTTGCAGAATTCTGTCATCTGCAAATAGAGGTGGTTTGCTTATTTGGGTTTTGTTTTCTGTTTTCATCATTATGGATTTTATTAGGGAAGTTGACAGGTTGTAATTCAGGTTAGCAGCAGGATACAATCCCTCAGTCCAGATGGCTTTGCAGGGCCTTTGACCTTCAACCTCACTGCTTAGAACAGAGTTACAAAGCTGCCTTAGTCCTGCCAGTTATGACATCTTCCCTCAGTCCTCCATCAGGCCTGGATGAAGACCTCTGGCTCTGGCTCTGGTGTTGGCGCTGGCACTGGCACTGGCACTGGCTCTGGCTCTAGCTCTGAAGGGCAGCTGTCCTAAGTCAGCTGTGTTTCTGATTAGTCTCTGGTTCTCTGTTGAGGCTACTGTTGTTCTTATGTAGATCTTGGTCTGCCTGGCACAGGAATACCTGGCCTGAAAAAACACCCCACTGCTTCCTCTTCCCTGTTGGCTGGGATTCCCCAATAGAGACAGTTGTATTGCTTTCTTTCCAATCTGGATACTTTTTATTTCTTTTACTACCCTCCAGGATTTATTTTTAATTCCTGATCTAAGAAATACAAGGTAAATATAGTATGATGACTTGCAGAAAAAGTAATTTTAGACTTTATCTTTTTGCCTTTAGTAGCCTAGTAAGTTGTTCTATGCTGTTTCTTCTCTCTACTTTTATATTAAAATGAAATTCATTGATGGCATTAAATACCAGAAGTTACTAATCAGGAATTTTTACCAAGTTTAAAAAGTAGGATTGTAGAAATTTCTGGGGAAGTGTTTATTTGGACAGAGATACTCTGGTGGTGCTATCGTTAAGCTATTTGATTGTTAACCAGAGGGTTGTCAGTTTGAATCCACCAGCTGATCCATAGGAGAAAGTCGGCTTCCATGAAAATTTATAGACTTGAAAAAATCAGGGCCATTCTGCTCTTGTCCTTCAGTTGAAATCAACTCAGTGGCAGTGGGTTGGTTTTGCTTTGGTTTATTTGAACACAGAATTCAGTCCCAGTCTTTGCTGAAATAGCCAAGAAAATATAAAAACAGGGCAAAGTCGTCATTTAAGAAGTTGACAGTTAATTGTTTGTTTCACAATTCAGAAAAGGTGCCACCTACTGGCCAGAAACTCATACTTCAGCTAGATGAAATTAAGATGGGATTGAATTGATACTGGCGCTGATTTACAAATCACAGCTAAAGTGTAAGAGTTCTCAGTCATAGTCTCCTGTAGTCCGGAGAGGTGAGGGTGATGTAAAATAGTTAAGGGCAGGCCACCTGCCTTTGGGTTGACAGTGCAGCTCCTTACCCACTAGTTCATCAGAGCTCCCTCTATCGAGAACTATTGTTTTAGATGCCATCAAGTCGACTACAACTCATAGCAGCCTTAAGAAAAACAGATCTGGACTTTGCCCTGTCCTCTGTCATCGTCCCCATCTTTAATAAACTCGAGCCCATTATTACAGTTACTATGTCATTCCATCTTGTTGAAAGTCATCTTCTTTTCTCTTAATCTTTCTCTTTCCTAGCATGGTGTCCTTTTTCGAGGTATGGCCCCTCCTGACAGCAGGTTCAGTAGGTGAGACGAAGGTCACCTTCGTGCCTTGCCCCTAAGAGGCACCCTGCTTGCATTTCCTCCAAGACATACTTGTGTGTTCTTTTGGCAACTCGTGGGATATTCATTACTCTATTCCAACATCACAGCTGAAATGTTTCTATTTTTCTTGTCATCTTTTCATCGTTCAACTTGCAAGTGTATCGGAAGTAATTGTAAAGACTATGGCTTGGATTGGGTGCACCTTAGTTTTTAAAATGACATCATTGCTCTTAGTACATGGCCAGGTCCTTGACACCTGTTTTCTCTATCTATGGAGGGACTAAATCTTCAGCAGAAAAATCAGATCTGAATTTCCCTAAAGACTCATTCTCTCATTGCCATCAAGTCAGAATCAGTTTTTAGTTGTCTTTTAGCAAGTTTTTGGAGACTATAAAATTGCACAGGAGGAAATTGCCCATCTCTCTCCCGGTGGATTAAACCACCAGAGCTACCTTAGTCTCACTTGTTAATGCTATGTACTATCAGAATGGACCCTCCGGCAGGTTTTCAGAGGCAGGAAATCACACGGGAGGAAATCACTCCTCTTCTCTCATGCAGCAGTTGGTGGATATGAATTACTTGTCTTTGGGTTGGGAGCTGTGGTGGCCTAGTGGCAAGAAGCTGCTCTGCAATCCCAAAGGCACATGGTTCGAGGGCATCAGTTGTTCCTTGAGAGAAGGACAGGCAGTCTCCTCCCATGGCATTAGGATCCCATGTTTGGGAGCACTTACCACTAAGCCCGTCTCCCTTAGACCCTGTTAGAAGGATCTAATTCAGTTGGTACTTTCCACATCTCTTTCCTGAAAAAATGACCTGATTCGTTCCATACTGGAAAGGAGTTCTTTATTTCAAAATTCTATGTACTCAGATTATTTCTGTTGGATTATTTTGACAGATCGTCTGGATATTCGGGCTGCCCGAGTTCTTCTGGATAATGACCACTATGCTATGGAAAAGTTGAAGAAAAGAGTGCTGGAATATTTGGCTGTCAGACAGCTGAAGAACAACCTGAAGGGCCCGATCCTGTGTTTCGTTGGTCCTCCCGGAGTTGGGAAAACAAGTGTAGGAAGATCGGTGGCTAAGACCCTAGGTCGAGAGTTCCACAGGATTGCGCTGGGTGGAGTGTGCGATCAGTCTGATATCCGAGGACACAGGTAGAAACTTCTCTGTTGAATCTGTTTCTTTTCCTATTTGTATTGTCCTAAATGGAAAGGCATTTAACAATTCTTACTAGATAGAGACTTTACCCTAATGGTACCCAAACTCACCCTCCTCTTTTAAGAGTGAATAGCTGGCATGTCTCAGCTTTCTTGGAAATCCTTTTGATAATTATGAACTATTGATTTTACAGTGTCTTAACATTCATTTTCCCCAACAGCATTCTGTAAAAAATTACTCATGACTCTTAAAGTTCTAAAGAATAAACTTGAGGAGGTTAGAAATCTTTACGAAATTGAAACTTTTTGCCATTTAAACTTATATAAAAACTGAATAAGAAAGAAGGAGAAATATGGGAAACATAACTAAGGCTTTTCCTTACATAAGGAGTTCCTGGGGGATGCAGACGGTTAAAAGTGCTTATGGGTCAGTGATTTGAACCTACACAGAGCCTTCTCAGAACACAGGCCTGAAAATTAACTTCTTAAAGCGAATAGCTGTGGAGCGCCCCCTGGAGGACAGTTTGCTCTGCACACATGAGCCGACCCTGAGTTCATGAGTTCATTTGACAGCAGCAGTTTTGGCCCGTCTCTGTACTGTCACATTTTCTGTCAAAACACATAAAACTACAGAAGTGTGTCCCTGAATAATCTGACATTACCAGAATCAGATTTATGCATTTTTCGCTTGTTCTTTCAACTGCTCAGATCAGATGATGCCTTGGAAAAAGCATGAACTTCTATTTCATGGTTTAAGGGTTAAGGATTTCATAGCAGCTTTAAATAAATAGATCTATAATATATATATTAATAGGTCTTAACATAAAGAAAAGTGTAACCGTCACGAATATGATGAAAAAAGAATGTCTTTTCCATTTTCCTTATTCACAGGGAAAAGTTTATATTTAATCTTATTTTCATTTATTCATACACCATTCTTATGTGTTAAAGAAAAACAATTCCGTGGATTTAACTAATAAATAATGAATAATGGTGGTGGTGGTGGTGTCAGGTGCCATTGAGTTGAGTACGACCCATAGCGACCCTACGAACAACAGACCTGGATCCCATTCTATCCTGTGATCTGATAGACCCAGTGCTGCGGGTCTATCATTCCATCTCTGTGGAGGCCTTCCTCTCCTGCTGACCCTCCATCCTTCCAAGCATGATACCACTTGTCAGAGGAATAGCCTCTCCTAGCAATGTGTCCACCGTTGCTCTTCAATATATTGAAAAGATCCCTGATGACCGTCAGGGTTAGACTTTCTGTCAGTACACTTAGTGGCCTAGACTTTCTTATTCTTTCTTTTGCCACTAGAGGCTGTAGTTTGCTTTCATAAAGAAATTTCTGTAATTACTCTTGGGAGATGCTCTCATTCAAGTGACTTCATATAAGTGATTTCATAATTCACATACTTAAAACAGTTTGAATTTCTTTCTTATTGGTGGTATAGTGTATGTAAGTATTTCAGTAGAATTATTGATTGGATTTAGAGAATAATTTTGTATAATTAAGGCTAAACACACATGACCAGAAGGAATTTGTCTTTATTTCTTTTTACATTGCTATTGATCAAAGGGAGATAGATGTGAAGGGAGGGGATAGAAGTGGATGGGTATCCTGGTGGATGGTGGAGCAGGGAAATAAGTGGGTAAAGACGTGTGTGAGAAAGG